AAAGGTATTACTATTATGGGACCTGTTGTAACCTTCTTACAATGTCACATATCACACCTCTTTGCTATATAATTACAAAGGTCAAACAATGATTTTGACTCTATATTTTGATGACAGAACTGAATTTGTGGCAGATTATTCAGATTTGATTGTGAATTCAATATTTAGCATTGTGTTGGTCTTCACACACACACACACACACACACACACACCAGGAGGACGAATCAGGTGTACATATCAACTTATCAGTGCTGTCTGGTGAACAAACTATATAATGGGGACACTTGAATGACACTTTATGAATTTCATAAAACCTTGTTTTGAATTTTTGTGCTGCCGTTTCTTGTTACTTGTTTGTTGATTAGAACTGGATTTGGTGGAACAAGAGGAAGTTTGTGAGAAGTCGCTGTCTCTGAGGCAGTGACTAACCCGACCAAATAAGCAGGACACAATTTTGTTTGTGCTTGGGCTCTATTAATAAGTATGCATAATGAGTTATAGGCATGTGCAGACAAAGATGGCTTAATGAGTGTCATCTGACAGAGCTCTCCATAAGCGCCGGCTTCCGGCCAAACAATCGACTGCTTATTTAAGCCCAGCAGGCTACTTTATTAAATTAATTCTTGATTCTAATAAAACAGTTTGGATTAAGAAGCTATATTTGATTCGCTATACCTGCACATTTTACGTCAATAGCCTCAAAACAATGTGAGTGTGATGATGGAGAAACGTGTCTATCTGTATCAGTCCTGCCCCCACATGCTCCATATGTGTATGTGCGCTCAGCTGAGAGGTTGTGTCCTGCCGAGTAGAGAGGAGCGAGCTGTCTTTAGTGTTTGACAAATATTAACAAAATAATTAATGACAAAACACTGGACAGACGGGACATCCTCATTAGACGTTCTACTTTGGAAGACACCAGTGGCAGCAGCTTGACGATTGCACAGTTGGCATTAAAACGTCCACTGAGAGGACTGCACTTTCCGTATACGCCGCACAGACGTTTGTGGGTTTAATGAATTAACAAATGAATTCATTATCTTTATTTACATTGCGCTTATTACAGCAGAGGCAGCTCTAAGAAGCATTGCACACAAAAGGAGGCACTGTTGTCAATGTGTTATAGGAGTTAAATGTAGGCCATGTCTCAGCCTCACACTGTAATCTCAAAGTGTAAACATTTTTTCTGTATTTTTTGCCAGTGACCAACTAATGCCCCAAATAATGTTTAAAAAATAAAATATGATGTAATGGAACTGCCTGCAGTAATATATGATCAAGTATATATATTTTCCACATTTGCATTTTTGTTTATCCTTTCTTGTTTCTAACAAAATTAAAATCTTCATATGTTAATAGCTACTTACAGACGGCTACAACACACAAGAAGCCTAATTCTCCTCCCCATTAATTCACTATTACAGTCAAGTAGGCAAACTCTTTAAAATAAGCAAAAATTAAGATCCGTGTATATGATGGAATGTGCCAGAGGCCACCAGATTTGGGTTTTTACAGCCAAAATATTTCTCTGCGAGCATGCCCCCGGACTGCCCTAGCTGGCTACTCCATATCCTTCAGGAAAACCCTGATTGTGAGCAATCCTTTCATGCATATAGAGGCCGATTTCTTCGCTCAAATGGAATTAAACGGAATCCACATTTCTATACTAGTACTCTTTGATAATGCAGTTAAATTCATTATGTTGGTAAACACAAGCTATACTACACACCGCCACAAAATCTATTAGCCCAGTTCCAGTGCAGAAACCCGTGATGATCAGATGACATTTTGTGGTTGGCTGCATTCCAAGGGCCCTGGATTCTATAGGATGAGCAACAGTCAGCTGGGGTCAAGCAAAAGGTAAAGGCAAAATAATAACATGCATGTCCTTCTATTGTAGTCTAGGATGTGCATTTATAAAGGAACATGCACTACATTACACAAGTCACATGTCATGCTAACCTCTGCTAATCAGCTACAAATATGTCCCCTTTGCTGACCTGTAGTTGTAACGTCCCCCGATGTGGAGTAAGTATGCTTGAAAACGGCAGAATAATCTAAATCAGGGTCGCTGAGATAGTCGGCTTGACATACGGGCAAACGATGTAGCTGCTCCCCCCAGGACAATTACTGCCACGTCGGGGACATTCCTTACACTGAGAGACATCATTCACATTTCAAAACCGAGAAACAAAAACAAACACCTAATCAACTGTAACTCCATCATCCTCCACATAACTTCCAAAATCATCCTGCCTGAGAAAAAAAAAGGGGGCAGGAAATGGGAGGCAAATCCTGGGTTCACCCCACTCACCACGCTCAGTTCAGGAATAGCAACATATAACATACTGGCCTACCCAGCATGCCCTCTGCCTCTCTAGACAGCTCTGACATCATTATACAGCAGATACAGACCAGGCATCAGCTGCACAGCCAAGGTTATATAAGTGAACGAGCTATGTTTCTAAGCATTAAGCACTGCTGCCCCACCATGGGGAATAGGAGGAGGATGGGAGTAGACAAGGAGAGAGAGAGAGAGAGAGAGAGGGAGGGGAGAGAGGGGGTAAGAGAAGGAAAAGGAGCAAGGAGGCCATGGAGAGAGACAGACAGAAACAGGGTCACAAAAAGAGAGGCCCCACTGGGGTGCTTGCTGCTGGGAGAGACTGAAGAAGGTCACCTCTGGCCCCCTAAAGGAGCCCCAGCCAACAGGAAGAGAGCAGAAGAGAAGATATAGACCAGGTCACATGGGGCTACACCCATCCACCTTCTGTGTGTTCTCTCATGTACAACACTGTTACATCACTCCGTGGGACTGATGCCAATCCTATTTGCTTTCCTTCTATGAATGGAAAAAAAATTTAAGTTCCAGCGTGTGAGAAATCATCAGCTGAGAGTTTTTTAGGACTTTGTTTCTGGTGGAAAACTCCTCCGAGCTGCTTTGATTACACTGATTTGGTTTCCTTCTTGTAGCCCACTGGGTCTACAGTATTTAAAAACGTATCCTTAGAGAAAATGTTTATACTTGAATGACGGATTTGTCCGGGGCTAATAATCAACCGAGGGAGAGAACACTGTGACTTAAACTGATGGCTAATGATTAATGAACAGTGGGCATCTGGGGCCATACCGGCTGATCTGACATAAATTAGCTTTGTTTAAGCCCGTTTCTGTGTAAAACCCTAAGACTCTACAGTGGTTTAGCACAACATACAATTACATAATAATGATAGAGACATTAGTTATTAATAAAGGTGTATGAACTTGATAACTTTTGGAAGAATTATTAGGCCTATAATCTTATCCCTTAACTTAAAAAAACAACAGAACTTCATCTGGTGTTTCTAATTTCATTTCTATGAGATGTCACAATAAGAAAGGCTGTGAGAAATATGTTTTGTGCCTAATCTTACGTATTCAGACTGTAAAATTAGACTACAACATTTCAAAAGTTCGCAAAGACATCTAAAGTGTAATAATTTAGACATTAGGCATCACAATTACTCAAAATGTTCACTGGTTACCGTGTTAATTCATACACTGTGCCTTTTAAAATAAGCTTCAGTGCCAGAGGAAATGCTTCTGTTGCCAGCCTGATAGATTCAACTGCGAGAGCACACAGCTTTTAGACTGTCACTTTCTATCAGCACAGTGCAAGATACTACTGTGAAAATGAATGCGACTGAGAATCGAGACCCTGAAAAGGCTCTGAGCAGAGTGGTTACAGTGAGTGATTTAATTATTACAGTGCTGTAATGTGGTGATGAAGGCCTTCACACACAAACAGCTGCAAACGCACTAAATAAACTGTCATTATATTAATGATCTCTGTGCTCAATCGTGCACAGAGATTATTTTCACTGGGGACTTTCACATGGTCTGAGTGAATGCTAAAGCGTCCGAACTGCCTGTCAGCAGTCAGTCGGGGCTATGGGAGGGACACCAGGCTATATTAGTAAAGTGTTTCTTGGCAACATTTGAATGCCTTTCAAATCAGTGCATTCATGTCTAGGCAACTTCCTGGCCAACGCTGTCTTTGAGCAAAACGTAGAGTTGTACTGCATTTTGTGGGCATGTTTGCCTAAAACACGGCTTTTTTTGTGTACAACTGAGTCACAGAATCTGTGGTAATTTAATAAGCGACTCTGACAGTTCTAATGAAACGCACATTGTGGCTCTCTAGAACAGTCTGTTCTGAAAACTGCCAAGTTCTGATACATATCAACTTGACGGGATCAGACAGTGATCATCTGGGCTGCAGTCAGTAATAGAAAATACTCAATAATAAAGTATATTTTGCAGAGATGCATGGATTAAAAGACCCAAGCTTCACACGCTGGATTCCATATACAAAGATAAGGAGATGCAAGCTTACTTAGGGTGGGTTTCCCTTTGATTACAGTCTTATTGTGGATCAATAGCACTGTGATAAACACGATAATATTGCTGATAATACTGATATTAGAATGTCACCTCAAGGAGAAACTGGGGAAACCCGACTGTGGCTGAAGTACCTGAACTGAAACGCTCCCTGCCGGACTACCGAGGCTGCATTCTAGCTGAGCTGAGCTTTATCGATCAGCATGATCAGCCTCCGTTTGTGTGCACGTGTGCATGCGTGACACCGAACCATGCGCGCGCCAGAGTGCAGCAGGCATAAACCCAAGTTCGGGCCTGTGTGCAAGCACTCGGTGCAAGCATGACACACTGGAAATGCTTCTATTACCGCTGTGCACTTATATCCGGCAGTGTACTCGTTTACAACAACCACTAACCAGAGGTGGAGAGAGGGGTGAGGGGGGGGGTGAAACAGTCAACAATTGTGGCGGAATGGCTGCAGACCAGCGAGGTTAGAGCCTGCCTGCTGTACAGTAACGACACACCGTGTGTACCTTGGCTGCTGATCTCATCTGTCAAACGCAACCCGGGCTACAGGAGCTAGCACCGCCAAACAACTGCATGCACAACCACGCCGTGTTATCGTCGGTTATAAGGACACTTACCGTCGGGGGTTTCTGGGGTTTTTTTTCTTCCCCCCCCGCCCCCACGCGGTCCGGGCACCAGTTCGGGTTGGATACTGGGACGTTAGGCGGAAATGAAGCGGGAGAAAGTCAGCGGGTCTCTCCTCCGGTTTCTGCACAAGTGTAGCGGCAAGCGCTGAGTGGCGTACACGTCCCCTCACTCCGAGCCCCGCTGCTCCGCCTCGCACTGTCAAATAATCACCCTCCTTCCTCGCAGCTCCCCCGACCTCCTTCCGACAAAAGCTTTTCTCGTGGAAATAAGTAGTTTGTTTCCCCCCCCCACACACCTCCTTGTGCTTTTTTTTTTTTCCTCTGCTGCCTCCCAGGAGCGTTTGGACGGGCTGCAACGACAGGAGGGAAAGAACCAAAAAGAAATACTACACGGTTCGCTCGCTCCTCCCTCCGCTGATGTACAGTACAGTAAAGCGAGCGCTCGGCTGTGTGGCCACTTATTAAAACTATCTACCGCTCTCTACAGGACCACCACTGTAAAGCACACACTGTACACACAAACACATGTTGAGGCGTTCGGATGTGAAATGCGACACATCGCCCCCCCCCCCTCCTGTCTTGAGTCGCCTCTCCTTATTTATTGACTTCATCACTGCGCATCACAGCGCTCCTTCCTCCCTCCTCCTCCTCCTCCTCCTCCCTTTGGAAAGGTGAGATTAGTCCACCTGGCAGGAAGGATTTGGTGAAGCATTGTCCCCTAATTGTTAAATGTTTGAGTTGTCTATGGCACTGATATAGGTGTTTCTTAGGAGAATAATCCACAAAAAATATACATATACACATTAAATAAACTATATATAATTAGAATAAAATCACTCATGATTGGAGTGGTAATAATATTGATTAGTGCTGTAATAATAACTCAATTACAGTTTTGATCATTTGGTCATTTATCAAGCAAAAATGTTAAACATTTTTTGGTTCCAGCTTCTCGGTGTGAATTTTATATTTTCAAGGACTAAACACACAATTAGAATTATTTTCATTGATCTATTAATCAAGCCATTAATCCTTAATCCAGACCTGAGCCTCACAATTAATTGTCTCTTTATCATAGTGTGCACTCCATCTAAATGGGGGAACGCGAGAGTCCATCTTTCCATAGGGCTGCACAGTAGTGGTCTGAATTAATTGCAGATATACATCGATCAGACAGAACACTATGACCACCTGGGCGTCCCTGGATCAGACCACACGGGCCAACCTTCACTCCCCACATGCGTCAAGGAGCCTCAGCCACCCATGACCCTGTTTACCTTTGATAGCTATTGAACACTGCAGACTTCGTCTAACCATCACAATCTGGCTCTTGTCAAAGTCGCTCAAATCCTCACACTGCCCATTTTTCCTGCTTCTAACACATCAACTCAAGGATAAAGTGTTTAATGGCTGCCTGATATATCCCACCCACTTGACAGATGCCATGATAGCCAGATAATCAGTGTTATTCATTTCACCTGTCAGCGCTCATAATGTTATGACTGATACCGAGGCACATTTTAAAACTTTATCCTAATTTATTTCACAGTTGTATCTAGTATCGCCGATCCTCTCAGCTGTTCCTTCTACATACCAAGAAGGTTGAGGAATTTAAATAATCATGCTCTTTTGAAAAACATTTTCAAATTTTTTTCAAATTTTGCTAAATCATTCTTTTGGTAGCCAAAAAGCCAAGCCTACTATTTTTTACTTTAACTGTGCAGCCCTATAACCTAGCAAGCCAACAACAGGACATTAATCAACTAATTGTTTCAGATCTATTAATATCGATCAACAGGAAATTAATCAGCAATTTTGATTATTGGTTTATCATTTAAGTTATTCATCAAGCAAAAATACCAAACATTGTCTGGTTCCAGCTTCTCAAATGTGAGGATTTACTGCTTTGCATTGTTTTATTCATCATTGTTAATTTAATTTATATCTTTGGGTTTTGAAGTTATGGTTGTAGAAAAGTAATTTGTAGTATGGCTGCAACTAACTATAATTTTCATTAGCAATTAGCAATTAATTTGACAATTATTTTTGAATCGGTTAATCGTTAAGTTACTAAAAGGTCTTAATTGTGCCCAAGGTGACGTTGTGCCAGAGAATCATTACATTTGAGAAGCTAGAACCAGCAAAAAAAACAGTTTGGCATTTTTGCTTGATCAATGCCTTAAACAGTTAATCGATTTCAGAAAGATTACATAAATTAGAAACAGAACTGAACTGGTGACATTTAGCATATCGCATTGATTCTGAATGCAATTTGTGAGCAATTTTTTGCAGCATGGTGGTTGTTATCACAGAATAAAGACAAGCAGAGTGGATCGGCGCTCACTCTTCGATTAGCCTTTTAGCAACAATCCCTGGGTTGCTGTACATCATTCCACTTATCTAATGGCCACTAACAAATCCATGGATGTACAGATGGTTGGACAGATAGATGGACAGACAGAAGGAGATAATACACTTATTTTGTTTAGAATAACGGCAGCATAAACAGAACCTTCCCGCTACAAAATTACCATAATTACTTCAATTAGGCTGCGCGCTGAATACACCATCCTGAAAACATAGGATCATGACGTCAATGTAGCCTTGCAATCTTTCAACATATGGCAATGTGAGAGCTTTTTTTGTTCATACAATCTAACGTACTGCAGGCAGGGTTTATGAACTAATGTCCAATGGGATGGCTTCAGCTCTGAGTCAAAAGATTTCTCCTTGCTCTCCTCAGTCTCAGAAGAAATTTGGTACTGAGCAAATGTATGACTGAAGCCTCCAAACAGATATTTCTGTCACTAATCTAACAGACAAATATGCAGGAAGTCACCAGCTGGGAGTGACACAATCGTGTAGCGCTGAATAGCCCGAAGTGTGACATTTACATTTGATGGTTTTCAATTGCAGAGAAGTGGAGGAGGTGGAAGAGAATAAAGGTTTATTTTAAGTGCTGCAGCAGCACACACATAAAATATTCCTGCTTTTTCTCTGAAACCACTATCTGTGGCTGTTTAAGAGTGTGTGTGTGTGTGAGTGTCCACAAGCCTGTGCAAGGCTTGGATGTTCTATGTGGAAGTGTATAAAATATCTCGATACAAGGAAGTTGCTATTTGATTACATGCTGGTGTAGTTCGTGGCACTGCTTAATTTCCACTTCCATTTCCAGGAACGGTCTCATGTCTAGAATAAAGTAGATCAACCAAATAAGGTCCACCGCTGACAGTCTAATCAAAACAAGGGACATGTTGAGAACTCCCACATGCCAATGATTAAACTCTGTATTTGATCGTGTTGGTTTTTGTCTCCCTTTAATGTGGCCATTGCATTGTGTGCATAATTCAGAGGGTTGCGTCTAGTTTGGAGTGAAAATGTCGTCTGTTTGAGTTGCTGTGACAACCAATTACTGCAGGACATCGCTGACCAGATTCCCCACAGCTTGTCAGATCTCAGAGGAGATTTCAGGTCAGATTCAGGACAGGTCAGCATGCAGGTGTGACTCAGCTAACAGTAAATGATATTGGACGTTTCTGCAAAACCCCAGAATATGTTTTTGAACTTTAACTGCTAAAATCTGTCTATAAAATATTCCTACAGTATGTTTAAGGTTGAACTAAAACTATGAGATTAGGTAACGATCATGTTTAAAGAATATGGTTGGATTTATGTTGATACTCACATGCCATATGTCGGTTGAAGGAGTTCTTGCTTGCAGTAATCACTCCTTCTGTCCATACTGGCTTTAAAGCGATCCATTACTAGCGCGACTCTAAAATCCACAGTCCTCATTCTGTAAAAAAATGCATTTTTAAGCCAAAACAAGTTAGTATCTTCCAAAGTTCTTAGTATGAAATTCCTCCTTTATGTTACCATAGAGTGTCTTCTTGCTGAGCCACGGAGGAGGAATATGTCTTTATACTGAAAGTAGGAGGACAAATCTAAAATTTTAAAAAATTGCATGATTGCCAATAAAATACCCTCTTGACTTGGCAAACTCATCTTTATCAGTGCAGTCACACTTAGAAGGAATCACTCCGCTAGCAGCTCTAACCTCAGCATGCTAACATGTTCACACTGACAATGTTAACAGATATGTTGTTTGTCATGGTCAGCAGCTTAATTTACCATTTTATCATGCCTACATTTGCTAATCAGTGCTAAACACAGCCATAGACATAGTCCATAGAAATATCTTCCAGATCTGAAAAGTGAAGCTAATGCGGAAGTTCCTGAAACCTGCATTCTTTCTAATGACCAGCAGGGGGCAACTCCATTGGTTTAAGAAATAAGTCAGATTGTATGTAAGCTTAGGAGAAAAAGGATTACTCTCTTGATTTATTACCCCAGTAAACACTTTCCTAATTAGTTTATGGTCCCAGTCACTAGTTTCAAGTCTTTTTCAATACAGCATTATGTTAATTTTGAAAATAATGGTCCCATTTAGAGTAAAATAGATGTTAAAGCAGGGTATGCTTTAACATTTTCATGGCAACCCATCTGATAGTTATAAATACATTTCACTCTCCATCAAGAGGAAAACTCAAGGAAGTCATCAGATACATTGTCTTGAAACCATGAATTTCCCAGCAATCCATCCGCACTTTGTCAAGGTAATTCCGTCTGGACCAAAGTGGTGACCTTTGAGTAACAGTGCCACTCTTTGACTTAAAATCTGAACTTTTCCTTTAAAGTTAGGCAACTAAAACTCGATAGGACAAGGGCATCTTCATAGTTACATATTAAAAATCCAACACTGGTGCTGCAAATAGTGTGTCTAAACAAGCATATTAATTAAATGCTCATCCACCACCCCAACCTTAGTGTTGGCTGCGTCTTATAAATGTCACTCTAATTCCCACATTGGCGTGGAGAGTTGGCAATGGATGCAAGTCGTAAACAGCAGAATTGGCCAAGTGAACGTTATTCCTAGAGAGATGGGGCTGTGAGGGAGCTGGAGGACGTAGCCATGGAAAGGACATCTGGCCTCAAGAATGGATGAATGAGTGCAAGGATGGACAGATGGATAATAGCCCTTCTATATGAACCTATTCCCACCGCAGACTGCAGAAAAATATGGACGTAGCATCTGGGGCCTGATTTGGGTTTACCATTCACCGCCATTACTCAAGTCTCAAAATTCAAATTTGGTCAGGGGGGAATATTAACAGTCAGATCTGTCTCCAGTGTCATTGTATTGTGATTTTTTGATTTGGTATCCATTTTTATTTTCTACTGGCTGTAGAAAAGTGCTGAAACAGCTATGCTAAAAAAATGCATAGATAAACAGATGTATTTCCTTCTGTGAGTTTTTAGTCTTTAGCA